GCAATTTCATTGTTCTTGACAATGACAATAAATAAATACTATACTACTACTATACTATTCCAGGAGAAAACATAACACAGATAATGCTGTGCAAAAAATTACAACCCTTGATTTGATAGCTTGGAAAAACATCTTTAGCAGGAATGACTTGAAGTAATAATTTTCTCTATGACACTATTAGTCTCTCACATTGATGTGGACGAATATTTTTGTACTTTTTGTCACAACAGTGCTTCACTTTATTGTGGTTTGCATACATTTCTTTAAGTACAGCTCTAGTAGTCTCACTTCTTATTTCAATCAGGTTGATTTTTGGGGGGCTCTGATGGGTCAGCACATTGATTCTTTTCTTGTTCAGTCTTTCTTTTGGGTGATTGTTGTGTTATATCATGCAGTTTGGGCCAAACTTTAGCTGTCTGACAAATGGTCGCACATTTGACTCTAGAACACTTTGGTATAAAGAGGAGTATGGCTGCCACGATTAGTCAACTAGTCACGATTACGTCGACTATCAAAATCGTCGACAACTAATTTAATAGTCGACGCGTCGTTTGAAGCTTTGTAAGATCCCAGAGACGCAGGAATAAGTAGCAGGATTTAAGAGTGTAATAATGGACTGCAACAGAAGATAGCAGCACTGCATGTACAAGGATGCCAGCTGCCGTTAAACCCAGAAGAAGAAGAAGCAGTGTCCGGTATCGTAGCTGTGTCCAAATTCAGGAACTGCATCCTCCTGTGCCCGCATTTGTAGGCCAATTACGTTACAGCGACACGACGAAGACTGTCCAAATTCGAAGACTCTGACAAATGCGGCCGACAAATGTGCCCTTCATTTCCCCAGATTTGAAGGATGGGTCGGTTGTATACTTCGTGGCCCGACCTTTTCGGAGATGTCTGTTACCCACCAGCTCGATAGCTAGCCGGGGTTCAAGGCTCACTTAGAGCCGGTGAGAATACCGGGCTGTCAGCAAATTGTTTTCAAACCCACCGCCGTCTTTCGCTACTCGGGTTAAACATGATATATATATATAAGTCACTTACAGTGGGGCAAAAAAGTATTTAGTCAGCCACCGATTGTGCAAGTTCCCCCACCTAAAATGATGACAGAGGTCAGTAATTTGCACCAGAGGTACACT